GATTGTCTCATACCGCTGAGATAATCAAGCTTAGCAATGCTCATACTTTATTAGCTTTATAAACTACTATAAACGGTGTAATTGATTCAAGAATCTGTTCGCAGCATTCAAGTTTCTAAGGTTTAATTATACATATAAAAGCTGATATTTTTGATTGAGAAATGAGTGGCTGCGGCGGCGCCTTTATTGTTGATTGGCGTGCCATACGCTTTAATATTCGTTTAATTCTTAATAAGTAGCTATTTGCCGGCTGTGATCTAAACAATGCTGGGAATATGAAATGACTTAGTGAAAAAAGTGTAGGTTATTACGCGTAGCTGAAAATTTATTTCGTTGGCAACAAATAATTTCAATTTTTGAGATGTAGTACTCATACCTTGACTCACGGGATCAAAATAGAAGTGACTACCTGCAAAGTGAAGGCTCGAATCGTAACAGCCGTTCACGCATCGAAAACCATACGAAAGAAAATCACATGATACCGTCAGTCGTATAAGCTGAATGGGATAGAGAGTACGTTCACGTATGTCATGATACGAAAAATGTGTTTTACGTGACGAGTAATGCGATATCGTATATGACGACTGCAGCCCTGAAGAATGTCTCCATAATACGGTCCAAAGCTGTAAATATATACACTAAAAGCTTTAGCTTCCTAAAAGATGCCTACTACTAGTTAAAAGTCTAATTAAGATTCTTCTATTAGTCCAGCCTCCATTTTGACCTCTTGGCCTCCAAGGCCGGATATGGTAAAAATTTAATTACTCTGAAACAATTAACAAAAGTAGAGCCCCCTAATGTGCGTACATACATACATATGTTTGTATGTATGTACCTATACGCACAATGTACATAAACATATTTATGCCTATATTTTATTACTTGAGGCAAAATGACAGCAACAGCTAATGGTGTTAATCAAGATAACGCCATAGGTAACCGACATGATCGACATGGCTATAGGCAAGAAGATGTTGACAGTAACCGCAGGAACAACAAGAAAGTGACACTAAAAAAAAACTGAACTGAAAAAAGATGCACACAAAAATGAAAAGAAATATTAAAAAGTTATAGCTGAACTAAGCCAACTATAAACTGCAGATTAAGCTCGCTGGGACGGAAGCCCAATGACTTTTATGCTAGGCTAGCGTTTACTAGAAAGACATACGTACATACATGTATATAAGTATGTTTGTAGTTAGTTAATCCAGATGATATCATTTTCACTTCAGTTAAGTAAGAAAGTTAACGCCACAAATATTTGCTATGGGATCCTACATATATCAACTTATGCATAAACAGGCGCACATATAACGCGCCAAGGTCTTAACCCTCTAGTAGGCCAATTTTTTTATGAGTTGAAAAATTCAGGAATGGGTGATTTTAGCACGAGAAATCCAAAACTGATGTCCATTTCGGTCTGAGACAGTAACTTTTTCCTACAGGGGAGAAAAACCAAGACCGTCTGGAGACGGGCTCGTCGATACACTTACACATATTTTCAGCTTTCTCTTACACAATGTTGACCTACGAACCGGCAATGCCGTCTGCAGACGGTCAAAAATGCAAAACTGGGGTTTTATATGTCGGCAAGCCGGTCTGTAGACGGTCTGTGTTCGAAAGCAATTTTCTCCATTTCGAATGGTGACATAATTATAAAACTTATATTAAAATACGGTGCTTTTAACAACGAAATCCACCGAATTTTTTTATATCAAAAAATTTTTCAAAAGAAAAAATTTCTTTAATTACGAAATTACTAAATCGCAAGAAATAATTAATTTTAACCGTGTTATCAAAATCTGTAATTCAACTGCCGATTAAAATAAAACGGATTGACATAACGGATTAAAATTTACTTCGCCGTAAGGGTACGATTTTTGTGTAAAGATCGTGCCCTTACGAATATAGAAAAAAATGATTATAGGTGCACTAAAAAGGTGTTTAGTTAACGACCGTCTGGAGGCGGTTCTGCCTACTAGAGGGTTAATGACTTTGGGCCATGTCGTGTCGCTTCACTCATGTGTGGGGTAGGTCGTTTGGTTTGTAAAATAGATGGGGGGCAGGCGGCTATACATAATACATAAGTATAAATGTAAATATGAATGTTGAAAATATGAAAATTGTGTGTTAGTTTTAAAAATATTAACTAAATAAATGAATCAGCAGGGTAGTGAGCATACATTTTACTGAGCAAGTATGTATGATTTATATGCGAGTAAGTATTTTGTTGAGCTTAAAAATTTATCAGCGCACACATACATACATATCGAGCCCTAACCGCCAAAAGGACGTAAACGGCATTTTTTTTTATATTTTTCTTTTTGATGGAGACATGCATTTAGCTGCTCTAGGAGTATTACTGCATCAAAAATAAAATTTCGAAAAAAATGTCGCTTACTTTTTTCTGGTAGTTAGGGGTCGACATCTACATTCGACCGTGCCACCTTACAAGCAAACGAAAAAATGTTCGCCGTACATTTTTACAAGGCGATTTAGAAAAAAAATAAAATTTACCGAACGTAGGGATCGCCTTCTTAAATGTTTCGGTGACACCTACATTCGGCAATAATAAAATTTTGTTTAAATAGTTCTACTGGAAAAATTCAAAAACTTCCTTAAGAAAAGTTTTTTTTTATTTGTGGCGAGCTTCACTTTACTCACGTTAGGGTGATGTGGTAGGAACTGAGATCTGTTGGGTAAGTACTAGAACGGGGTACTTGGGGTCAATGAAATTTTATACAACAAAAATTGTCTCCTCGTTACAAGAGCATCGGTATACCATAACTTAATATTCCACTTTAAATGCCGAGGATATTATTTACGTTCGGGCATAAAAAAAATTGCCTTGCATTAATAATTTAGACTCAGGGATGTACGGCGAACTTTTTTTCTTGTACGGCGTAATGTACGTACATGTATGTATGCATGTGTACTATATATACGGTGACCATCCGTTCTGTTTTTTGCAGGACCGTACTGTTTTTCAAAGGTCGGTCCTGCGTAGTTTTTCAAACCTGAAAATGTACTGATTTTTTCCAAGTGTCCTGCATTTGTCCCGCATTTTATTCGTTATTTTAAAATTATCGGACAATGGATGGATTTTTTCAAAAATGTGTTTTTTTGGTACTTTTCGTAGCTTTTCTTCAATATCTCATGAAAAAATCTCCCAATCAACGTAAGCGACTTACAGCTCGAAGGGTATTGATGTGCCTCTTACCAAAATATATAACTTGTGGCGACTTCAATGAAAATTATTAGTGCTACAGGCGACCATTTGCATTTTGTCGTCAAAGTCGAAAAAAGTGAGAGTTTCAATCAAATACCCAGCTTTATTTGATATTTTTTTTTCATTAGTTTAAAAATTCGATAAATAAGATATATCATTACAGTAAATTTTGATCCAAAGATAATGAAAATCGGATTAGAAATGTAGATGCTATGAAGCGCAATCTGCACAAATTATATATTTTTGAAAAGGGCACATAAATACCTTTGTAACTCGTCGTTTACGTCGATTCATGACGTCGATTTTTGACAAATTACTGCGAAAAGTTCCAAAAAACAAAAAAAGTTATTGTTTTCGTTTTGAACGACTCAAAATTTTCCTATAAAATAATCTTTTAAAGATTTTCACTTTTCGTATAAGCTATTGTAATTATAATATGTTTTACTATACCTTTGTAAATATTCATGTAAAAAAGATTAATATCGATGAAGAAAACGTGATACGTTTTTTAAGTTTAAAATGTATTAAGAATTTAGAATCATAAATACTCTTTTGATATTTTTATACTAAGTAAGTATATGTAGGTATATTTTTGAAAAATTGTCCTTCATTTTGAATCCATATTTATGGTCACCGTAACTATATATGTATGCCTATTTACATACCTACATATACAACAAAAAAATGAGAAATTTAAATCACACACACATTAGTAATGGATGGGTAAGAGGACTCAAATTAAGTAATTTGTTTTAATTTAAATTAGTGTTCAGTAGGCGCTGGCGCGTGACGCCTACGTGTAATGAATAATCAAATAGTGAAAAAAGATAAAGGAAATAACTATGTATTGTTTGAATTTAAGTTAAACAGAATTAAGCTCAAAGAACAGCTCAATAGGAAAGCATTCGAAATTGGTAATGAAGTGGTCACCGCTGTAGTTGTGTTACATAATTTCTTTACTTAGAAAAAATCCCAAATTAAGTAAGTTTTGGAAAGTGTTGGTAGATATATTAGCGATGTTAATTTTTTTCGCTTTTTACGATCCCGCGATTTTCGGAATGTCGTTATCACAGTCCCAGGATTAGTCTCGGGATTTAGTTATTTATTACTTTTCAACAACTGAAATGGAAAAAATTGCTTCCATCTCTCCTACCACAAAATAAATAATAATTAAATAGGTTTGAAACCTACTTTATTATTTAAAGTGGCATTTTTATTGTTCTCTCTGACATCAGGATTTATTTTAAAGGACTTTGGAATTTCAAAGATATATATGATTAATTCCAAAAATTATTTAAAAAATTTAATGCAGTATAGAATAAAAATATGGGTACCAAATGAAAGAGGAAATTTCTTTGGAATTTAAAAAAATTAAAATTTGTTGGATTCACACGGACGAATAGGTAATTTTTTAAGCTGATAAAGTTAGAAGGACGAAATTCGTGGATGTTATCGAGTTTATATAAGTCCTTAACATATAATTTTTTCAAAAACAAATATTGCGAAATTTCAAGAATAAAATTTTTAAAGAACATTTTCATTACTTACCAGTCCTTATGCACCAAAAAATTTACTCTGATTAAATGCTACAGAATTTCCTCTTTAATTTGATACCAATACTTCTTTTAGCATATGTCACTGAACTTTTTAAATCATTTTTGAATTACTGATGTCAGAGTAAAAAACTAAAAAAGCAATTTTACTACATTTGGCCCATGGTTTCGCGAATATATTGATTTTTGTGTTTAAAATTTACTATCGCACAGTGATCTAGACATTTATAAAAAAATATGTATTATTAAATAAAAAATAAATAAATATAGCCAATACTGGTCAAGAAAAGGAGTTTCTATTATTGCCATCAGTGCAAATTACAAATCCCGAAAATCCCGGAATTATTTGCCAAGAATGCCGGGCGTTTCGGGACCTGAGAAAGTGGATTAACATTCCTAGTACATATGGTTGGCTGACGTTTCGCACTAACAAACAATAATACATACAAACTAATGTATTGTGGATGGTAAGGTTACTCATACGACCCCCCAACCTTAATTTTGAGAAAAGCCGTTCTTCTGTCTATGTAGTGGATATTATGTTATTTGTCAGACTTCAGAGTAAAAAAAAAAACTAACTTTAAACAGTAACGTCAACTAGTCAACGATCTCAATAAGTCCACTGTATGAATAGCCCAATATAGCGCATAGATATCTAACAATTTGTCGAACTAAAGATATCGGACTACTCGAGTAGCACACTTGTGTATAACTTGGTGTAAGTTTACGAAGTTTGGTATAAATCTGATTAATTGTATCCAAAATTCACAAATTTACACCAACTTATACACCAGTGTGCTACTTGAGTAATCGAATGTAATATTGGTACCGTAGATAAGGTCCACTATATTCAATTCCTACTCGTTCGTCTTCATTCACGCACTCTGGACAAAGTGGGCAATCCATGTATGTTTATGCACCAAGAAGAAAGCAGTTTGCTTTACAAACTTAAATTTATCAAAACATGGACCCAGGTTTTGCTCAGAATTTGAAAGCTGTCGCGTAAAAACGTATTCTATCGAAAATCTTCCACAGTTCTACGATACGAAGCTTACGGGGTATAAATTGATTAAAGTTTTCAAATTGCTACCAAAATGCAGAAAAATGAGATGAATACGTATTTTATTCTAGGGCGAAAACTACACAATATCTTAGCACGAAATTTTTACACAGTATGAAGCAGAATACATATAACAAGTAATTCTGCATATTTTGCTGAAAATTTGTATTTTTTGAGTTATGACAGTCTTTTCGTAAATGAACGATATGTTGATTTGCAATCTTCGATTTTAAAGTTCCGGTTGCAGTTTAATGATTTATTCGTTAAGTTTTCAATTCTGTTTAATTAAAAAGAAATATCTCTTCAACTTACCGCCCATAGCATATTCAGCAAAAATAGCGAATACTTTATTGTGCCTGTTGCGCAGCCCATTTTCGTAAGGCTCCTTGTACTCCTTATGCACACCAACAACAACAACAACAAAAGCAATATCGTATTTTTTCACACACACTGTACCTTCGCTGCCGACCGTTTATTAAAGCGCGCTTCAATTCATTTAAATCGCCAAAGCACGACTACTTTCAAAAGTCACAAATTAAATAAGCACGCCACATACTCATTTAGAATCATTAAGAATCAAACTTTAAATACACAATACATAAAAGATTGTATAAAAAAAAATAATGCTTAACAAAGTGTTTGCTAACAGCGGGCACGCTCTTCCATGCCATCCAGCTTTGCGCCGCACCGATTGAATAATAAATATAAAATTTTGTATATTTCAATCCAGCTACGTAATTTTATTGATTGGCGAAAGGTTAAAACCGAAAAGTTTTTTTTCGAAAACAATCTTGAAAATCCGCTCCGAGCGGCTGCGGTTACAAACAAATACACATATGTATGTGGTATGTGTGTATAATGAAAAAAGCGCGAAATCACTAAAGCTGATGCCAGATAAAACTTTGTAGCTTTGCGTGACATTTATAACTTTGCCAGCAAAGCGCCAGACGCAAAAGGTATGCCACAATGAACGCCTAGAAAACAATGTTGTACCGCTTTTTTACTCATCAAAGTTGCTGTGGATTTTAATTATTTTGATTTAAAATTATCAGCAATGTAATTAAGTTTTATGTTTCTGCATGAAAACCCGAATTTGGACGAAACAAAATAAATATTAAACCGGCTGATTGTCAAAGCGCGCAAAAAGATGGGAGTTGACCATCTTTTCGCTTCGCGCTGCCGCTTCAACGATTTATGTGGCATGCTTTGTGCATTTTCATACAATTCATCTTATCTGTCAAAGCGAATCTGTCACGTAAAGCGAAGCAAAAGTTTTATGTGACATCAGCTTAAAAAAAAAATACTAAAAAAACGAGACACGCACCACCGATACCGCAGCAGCTAAAGAAGGGTTACGTCAAAGCGCGCGCGTTCTCATAGCAAATTCACAATTCGAATAGATTAAATAATAAACACAAATAGTAAAAATCAGAAAATCAGAAAATTCTCTCAAGAATAAGCTCAATAAAGACGTCACCGCTGCTAGATTGGACTCGATAAATGACTCAACGACATAGGCGTGCGTATGCGACAATAAGACACGACTCGACACCGCTGCTACTCAAAGACAAATGTGCTCAACAAATGGAGCGTTCAGCACAGCGTAGCCAAGCAACCAAAAGAAAAGCGTTCCACCAGCAACAGCCGGCCAACATTTAGCGAACTGGCAAACTACCGAGCCAGCCAGCGGCCACGGTCACGAACAAACTATGCATATATGTATGTACCTATGTATGTATATACAATATAATAATAATAATGGATTGGCGCATACACCATATGTCAGTGTTTGGCCGAGCTTCTCCTCCGATTTGTGGCGCGCGTCTTGATGTTGCCACACAAAGGGCGATTGTATTTTTTATGAGAAGCTGTTTTTCATAGCAAAAATACACTCGAAAGTTTGCCATTGCCTGCCGAGGGCCGAGAGCTGATAGAAAAAATTTTAGTTTTGATGTTAGTTGGAAACTGGGCTCAAACCCAGGCCCTACGGTATGGTAGTGCGCACTTCTAACCACTACACCACAGCATATATATGTACAGACATAGACAAAATAAATAGCGTCACGCTACTCTATTTGCATTCGCATCGAAGCGGCAACTTAGCAACAACAATACCAATTGAAAAAAAAGTTTACCTATCAAACCACCAAGCCACCAAGCCACCAAACCACCAAACCACCAACCTAACAACAGCAGCAGCAACAACAACAAATACAATTAATATCAACAAATAGTAGACACATCAACTGTTGACACTATAAATTTGTAAGTGTATGTATGTATGTACATATGTCAGTCTATTGTATTGTAAGTAAGCACATTTGTAAATTAATATTTGATTTAAGTTTTTTTTTGTTTTTTTTTTGTTTTTACTTCGCTCTGCTCGCTTCTAAGTTTTTGTTTGATTTGCTCTTGTTCGTTGTTTTCCTAGCGCAATGAATAGACATATGGAGGCGTTATGGTCGCTATGCGGCGGGAGATTGCGCACCTACATATCATATACATACATAACTTTGGGCGTAAGCAATAACCGCCTAAGTCGAAATACCTGAATTCGAAATTCGAGAAAAAACGTTTTAAACATTTGGATTGCAATGTTAACCTTATGGGG